CACGACATCATACTGGTTCACTACTGCGGGTCAAAGAAAGGTGAAATGACGTCATTTGCGCCGCCGTTGCCACGCAGTAGTGAACTGCATTGTTGGGAACTTAAGAGCACAATTTTTCCAACACACACTTGTTGGAAATGTGTTGGAAACATGTTGGACCAATGTTGAACGCATGTTGAAAACATGTTGGCCGCATGTTGGTAAACGGTTGAAAACATGGACCCGACCCTCCTAAACGGTTGGACACATCGTTTCATGGAGTTCCAATGCTGGTCCAGTGTTGGGCCCAAGTTGAAAACTTGATGAAATTTTGCCACAATTTTTCTGTTGTTGTCGTGGTTGTTTTTCTGTTGTTATAGTAGATCCGAGTCTAGTGTAAGGACAACTGATGAGTAACGGGTTGAGTGAATCTGGCCGGTGGGGGAGGTTGGATCCTTTTAAGGAACAACAGAGAGAGCAACTGGGAAGGAAAAGTTTACTTGCAGCGGGGGTTGCGAGATTGCAGGGGCATTGCGTTCGAGGTATTCTCGGCACACAAGTCATACTCAGACAGCCATACGACTCAATAAACACATGGAAACTCAGGCTAGCATGCACACACACAGACTTAGAATTCTCGGCAGAAAACGAGAATCTCAACAATCATTGGAACCATACATAATCTCAGACAGGTCGCAGGTTTGGGGACTGTGATTTTGCGGGTTATTACATAGTAGTCATCAAGATAACCGTGGTGATTCTAGTGTGAAAGCGTGGAGTCGGTTGCGGGGTCTACTGTTCATTTATTTATTTAGTCGTACCCGCCTACATCAGATGGTCTTGGAGTTTTGCTCAGCGTGCATATAGTTTGTTTTCTGTTTTTAACATTCGACTCAAAAACGTTGAATCTCCTGAGAAGGGTTGCACCTGGTTATTGTTACTCATATCCTTTATCTATTTTTTTTCTTTTCTGAGTTTCCACCTTGCCACAATGATGACCAAATATAGCATGGAGGAGACCGAGAAAAAGGGAGAGGGAGATATCTGGCAGACTGAGAAGGTGAGAGGTCAAGGGGATGGATGACCAGGAAAAATGAAAAATGAAAAGTAGGAATTGAAGAAGAAGTTGTTAATGAGAGAAGATGGTTTGAGAGTGAGCATGTATGTGGGGGTGTCAGTGAGGATAACAACGTTGTAGAGCAGCACAAAGACTGTTGTACAAAAGAGGGGTTGCCAAAGAAACCAAGTTGTTCAAGCAAGCCGCCTACATATGCTTTCCCTAATCCCCGTGCTCACGTTTCGCTTTTTTTTTTTTTTTTGATTTTTTTGTATTTATAATATTAACTTGCCCAAGTACCTCATGTTCCTAGTCAAGATCATGTTCAGGAACATGCTAGGTGCTATCGCAACTGCGCACTGTTGTCATCACTGACAACTCCCACATTTTACTACAGTTGTTGGCTGCTGATGAGTGGTAACACTGTTGGTTGCTGCTGAGTGGTACAATTGTTGGCTACTACTGAGTAGTACAACTGTTGGCTGCTGGGGCAGTGGTACGGCTGTTGGGTGCCGCTGAGTGGTGTAACAATTGGTTGTTGTTGAATGGTGTTGTTGCTGATTGGTTGCTACAGCGACTGGTTACTTTCGAGAGTTGCAACTGCTCTATGTCATTGCAGACTTCTAGTAAATGGTTGTCGCTACAGTCGCTAGTATTGGCTGCAACAAAAGCCTATCACCACTAGGAGCTGCATTTGTTGCAGGTTGATGTCACCTTCGCTGCTACAAGAGTTTCCACTGATTATTGTTGTTATAACAGTGGACCGTACGATGCCGCTGGTTGTTACATGCCATTGCCCGTTATGATTGAGAGAGTAGTCCACGCCTACCCCCTGATATGTTACGTGGTGTGGTGGTATGTGCTTAGGACTGCCTAATTATTGGGACTGAGTCAATTAGGCTCCATGACTGAGGTGAAGCTGCCAATTTCGCAGCAGACTGCATCTGATGAGCTCCGCTTTATTGAGTGACTTGTAGAGCTTTTGTATTCCATTGTCACTATTACATATGTGTATATGCATGTTCGCTGGGCCCCGTATGCTTTCCGTCAGTATGATCACCACATGTACGACCTCCTAGGGTACCAACGTGCTGAAAGGCCCGCAGATCTGGTAGTTACCCATGGTTGTATCGTCGCATGGCCACGATGGGGACTGGAGTAGGTTAAGCTCACGTAAGAAAATTTATTTATTATCATCAAAATTATTATTGCTCACTGTTATTACTGTACATATAATTTTTCCTTTTTTTTTTTCCTATTTGATTCGTAAGCCACTACTACTCTTAAGGAGGTTACCATTAGCTAGTCAGCTACACATGGCAGTAGGTTTGACCGTTAAATAGTTGACCTATACGCAGTTGACCACTGGACACTTGACTGATTAATAGTTGACCAACGGAGGCCTTACCACTATAAAGGATTGATCAAGAAAGATGACAATAGTCTAGCGAGGTTGGAAGGCAGTGTGGAAATGTATGGTGTTGACCCGGAGGAAAGGTTGTGTGTCGAGGGGAGTTGATTTGAAGCTTGTGCGTTGAAAGAAGTTGATCAAATGAGAAGTAAACGGAAAAAATTAAGATATGAAAGAGGGACGAGATTTCGACCAAGGGTATCCGAGCGACTAGCTACCATTGCGATGCCTCAGGAGCTTAAGACTTGAAGGCAGTCTCGGTCACCTCGATTGAGGGGCTACTCCAGAGGGACCCACTACGAGTCCGCGGAAGACTACATGCTGCTATCATGTGATAACAGGTAGGTTACCTACTCAACCCTCACTCCCCCTCAACATTCACACTTTGCATCGATCCAACACGAAATACCATTTCTGTTTTCGAGTCATTGTCAAAAGGGTCTGCTTTGAGTTTAAAAAGGTCCTTCAACGACAAAAATAGGTAAGACTGAATGACAAAGTCGAAAAGGGAAGTGTCTAGTGTGAGGGGGCTTGAAAGTGTGGAATATGATGGGTAAAACGATTGGGGGATTGATTGTGTCAGACTTGTATGAAATGTTGTTTTATGTTTGCAGGTGAGTAAACGACCTTCCCTGCGCTGACTATTGTCAAAATCATTTTGATAATACTTTGTTCATGTGGGCTTAGACCTAGAATCTTCAACGATGTGTTTTCTCTTATACATTTGGTTTGGGTTGTCTGCCCTCTTTTGTCGTGATGTTGAAGTAGATTAGGATTATTGAAAAGGTCATGAACCTTTTGCATTGTATGTCATTTTGAAAAAGTTATGAGCCTATATTTATTATGGATGCATGATTAAATGGTTAGAGATATGCATTTTTCATTAAGATGTTGCCCGTGTGTGTGTATCTCATTGCTTTCTTGTAACCCAACCCCCGACAATCCTCATGATCAATGGAGTAATTAGGAAAAAATATTGCATATTGAAAAGTAAGTTAGTCAGTCTCATGCTTGGATTATTACGATCCCTTTAATATTGCACAGGTAAACCAGGTAGAGATTTAAAGGACGAATCACTTTGTTGTTTTGGTGAAGGATGATCTGATTGCTTGATGATTGACGTATTGGCGGCTTGATAAATGATGTTTGACTGTCTGACGAAAGCAAATTGGTATTGAGAAGTGACTCGATACAGGGCCAAGGAGTGTCCGTCCAGTTGCTTCGTGCGTGTTTAACTTGATGATTAGACTGGTATTGAGAAGTGACTGAATAGAGGGTCAATGCGTGTCCGTCCAGTTGCTTCGTGCGTGTTTAACTTGATGATCGGATTGGTATTCAAAAGTGACTGGATAGAAGGCCAAGGAGTGTCCGTTCAGTTGCTTCGTGTGTGTTTAAACCACCAGTACCTCCGAGCCTGTTTTTGACGACCCTGATTTTTACTGCGCTCCGAGTTTTACCGAGCTTGGGTCCCACTCAAAAAAAAAAAAAAGTAGAGGCTGTGAAAACTCACAAAACAAAAAAACGAAACAAAGCTCTGGGCGTGATTGCAGCTGTATACATTCTCGGAAGTGTTAGTGTGAGTGTGCCCTCAATGAGGGCATCTCAACCCCGCGGCAAGGTTGTCAGGCTCCAGAAACTCAAAAAAAAAAAAAAAAAAACAGGAACACGGATTCGGCCGTGAAAATAGAAAGATACATTCCCTTAAATGCCAGTGTGATCAGGGTTACAATCCTCTGAGGGAACACAGCTCGAGCAGATCACGGATTCAGATTGTCAGATTCGAGAAAAAGAAAAGAAAAAGAAAAAAACGGAAACATGGATTCGGCCTTGAAAACGGCTGGATGCATCAGGGTTACAATCATATGAGGAAACACTGCTAGAGCAGATCACGGATTCTGCCCTGCCTCATTGGCAGGGAACACATAACAAACAAAAGAGAGAAAAAAAAAAAAAAAAAAACAAGTTTCAGAATGTGACCGTCTTTGTTGTAAGATGCATTCAAGACTGTGAGCACAG